AACTGAGCCGATTCCAACTCGGATCACTCAATGCTTTCTTTTTGGAGAATTCTATAGATCATTCGACCATATCTAGGGAGCTACAATAAACCTTACTGATCATAGGACAATGGACGAGATTGGGGTATAAATTACTGCTTTGGAGAAATGAGTACTAGTACTGGTCATGGGAAGTGCTCTTCTTCAAATCGCCAATAAAATTCTGTCAGCATGTGTGCGTCTGTGTGCACGTACTATAATTGCCATTTATTCAATTCATTTCAATTTTTTGCATTTATATTACAGTTATAATATAGCTCATTGATACGTTTCTTGCCGTCAGTCAAACATGGAGAGCGTATCCCTGAATCGCTAATGCACAGATCAACTAAAATCATACGCTTTATCATGAGTATTTGGACCGAACAGGTGTATATGTGGACGCGTATCATATTCAGTCGATTCTTCAGCGCTAGCCATTGTCACGTAATGATGATTGCGCAATGTGGCTTGGATGATCATCATGAGGTTGCTTAATGAGGTAATAATTGCCACAACATACGTGGGCGGGTATGACAGGGTCGTGGATGCCAAACCTTTTGAACTGTTTTATTACAGACATTTTGACAGTTTGCATTATTGCTCGCCTACTTTCATGTACATTGGAATAGCTCTTCGACTTGGGGCATTTATTTGACTGAGATGCAAAAGCATATCTTACCAACTTTGAATTTTGAACGTTGGAGCGTCTCAGGAACGATACCACCTGAAAACAAACGAAAAGTTCCAGACGGTGAAATAGGCTACCTTGGCTTGGTTTACTGAGGGAAAAGCATGGAGAGCATCCTTTGTAAGAAGGCAATTCAACTAGTACTAAAATGCGTTATCGTGAATTCAAGCTTCCAAAGGTTGCTTTCGCTATTGGTCAGTCAGATGTGGTATTCAACTCAGCAAAGTAAGAGACAGGCAACTACTCAAGTGCATTACTTGATAGGTTTGTGGGGAAAGTTTGAAGGTACCACGTGATGCAGTGAAGAAGTTTCGAGCGGGGTTACCGCAGTTGATCCCTGGATATGCTAACTGTGATATTTTCAATGCAGCTGAAACAACTTTGTATTACAGATAGCTCCCAGAAAGAACATCAAATCTCAAAGGAGAAACAGTTTATTAATCCAAGAAATCCAAAGAAAGAGTCACGTTACTGCTTCTTGGGAGATTGACTGGAGAAACGTTAACACTGTTGGTTATTGGAAAATTTCAAACTCCGATTTCTCTGAGGTGTAGTTTGAAAATGCCTTACCTGCAGTTATAATTCTTCAAAGGATGCATGGACGACCTCCGCGTTATTTCACAGTTGGTTGAACGATGTCAACCGCAAGATGGTTTCTCAATAACGCTCTTTTTAGCATCCATAGACAACGCCGCCTGTCATAACAAAGGTGCAGCATTCTCCAATGTCGAATTATTACGCCTGCCTCCAAACTGTTCTTTAGTGTTACTACCAAAAAATCAAGGTGTTATTTGGTCCTTCAAATGTTCGTTTCAGAAACATTGACCGAAATGTGTCTTGTCTTTGATCGAAGATGAGTAACCTAGCATGAAAGTCGAAGTGGAAATCCTCGTGGGCATGCATCCAGTCAAGAAAGCTTGGGTGTCTGCATCCTCACATACCTATGAACGCTTTCACGAAATCTGGGTTCAACCCCACATTTAACCAGCCGATGATGTAGCCACCAGAGGATAAGTGTGATCTGATTGAAGACTTAACTCACTGTGTGCCTATGAATGAACGTCTTTTTAACGAAATTGCCTGTTCAGAATTTGTCGATAAGGAAGTGGGCTATTTAATTTTTTTGTTTCAATTCTCTGTGGTAGTCATTAGATGAACTTGCTTCAAAATATAGCTAAGCATCGCAAAGAAAATGAATGTGAAGCAGTGAATGCGCCGGAGGTTATCTCAATTAGAGAAGCATAAAAGTTGCAGGATCAATTGAAGCTGTTTGCCTCGACTAATGCTCGAATTTCGGGTCGATTACTGGAGTGTGCAATTGATTTGAATGGCGTGTTTGTTGATTTCAAAAGGAGAGCGAAGCTGAGAGGAAAGACAACTTGTGGTTGCTAAAAATACATCTCTGTAAGCTACAAAGGTTCTTTTCTGTCATTCTGTGGGCACTCGAATGTGGTCATTGTTGTTACAGTAGTCGCCAAAGCCAAGACTATTCGGTCTATCGATGGGCTCTGTCGCACTGACGTGCAAACGGGTGGAGGATAATTGCGACTGACTCGTAAGCAGGTGTGTGGAGTAAGATGTCAGACCCAAGCGGTCCATAACCGCTGTCGCGCGGAAGCGCCTGTGTGAACAAATAAACGATAATCGCGCTTCTCGCTGATAGAGCATCGATGAAATTAGGCAGGTCATTGGCCAAATGTCGTCGTAACCCGGGTTTAACCCGCCCCTGACTGAGTGATGTAATTCTAATTTGTGAATCACATTATTGCATCACATTTGACCCCACATAGAGTATGCCATTCAAGTTTGGAACCCATGGATGCAACGCGGTCGTAAGATTCTGAACGTCCACAAAAAATGACCACCGAAATGGTCAAGGGACTGCATTCCAAGACTTATGTGGGAAGACTGATAATTGGGGTTGTTCTCCACACAGTAGTCCCGTATGTGCAGAATGTTTTCACACAAAACAGTCCACTGGATGATTCTTGGGAAGCAGATGGCTAGGCTTATCAGATAGATCATTGGCTATTGAAATGTTATTGAGTCACTCTGACGACATTCTAACATCATTCTGATGGTGCTTTACATCCTTGCATCTCAAGCATATACATACGTTATTCACATTTCGTGATAAATTCTGAACTCATTTACTCACCCACTTTCAGCTGGAAATCCGTCAGCACATTCAAATCCCGGCAGTTTCTTAACCAGCGGGTCCGCAAGACGTCCGGTTTCACACATGCCACCCACCCAGTCATCTAATATCTCGTCTGAACCTATGGCCCCTGGCAGTCTCGCTGCAGCTTCAGTGGATCCAAAAAAGGCTGCCATCTTACAAGAAGTGATGGGTGAAACTGGATCGCATAGTGTGGTTGTAGCGGTTGACAAAATATTCACCGGTTCGGTTCGCTTAAATGGAGAGGCCATTGTTGATTTCGTCAAAGCTCTTTGTCAAGTACGTTTTAGCTTGCGTTTGTCCTCCAAACAGTTGTAGAAGTGTTTTGAGATATTTTAATATGTAAAGGGGTAGAATACTTTCTAATCTCACTAACTGCTCGTATCCCACTTCAAATCCCAGGGTTTGTGTTTCCGGTCATAGTGTGTGATCAGTCTCCCTACAATATTTGGTGTTTTTGTCTTTTATGAGGTTAGGGATTTCAACAGATAGACCGTACAACATTGGCACCACTGCTTTCTATTATATGTCATATCTCTTACCGTCTCTAACCAGCGACAATCCTCGTCGCTCGACTCCCAATCTGGAAGGCGGATTACACCAATCAAAGCTGCTACCGAAGTGAACTCGACGCCAGGCCATGTACTAACCGCTGTGTCACTTCTCCCGGCTCAAGGAGGTAGACCATGGGCAAGCATGCTCAGAATTTCCCTAACCATCGGGGCTATCAGCAACCAACCTCGTCATTGGTTACCTAATGTTCTAACCAGATACGAACATTGCTTGGAAGATATGTGATCTAATAAAAATATATTGCACACTTCACTGAGGACAAACTGTGTGCCAGGCAAATCATGGTACAATAATATTTATAAAAAAGAAAAAAACGTTCCATGATTGGCTTGTGAGCTGCCAGGTTGCCCAGGCCAAGGCCGGTGAATTTTCTTGAGGAATTCACAACCGGAACCTTCGGTTAGCCAAAGCCTGACCCGCAAGGCAGCGGGGCGGTATGTCAAAACCTGAGTCCATTGGGAGCCGGTGTCTAGTTCATCGGATCATTTGCCCTTCGGACGGGGTCAAACGTCCAAGGTGCCCAATACACCTCAATTCTAAATCGAGCCGAGGATCACTACCACAACCGAAAAGGTGTGGGTTTGGTTCGTACGCCTCCTGTCGGTTGGTTTGGAATCAGAGTTATTAGCCAATTCCCTTAGGCGAACTACCAGTGGTCAGTAGTCGATCAGCATTCCCAGCGCGAAGTGCCCAGGTCAATCCGGATTAAAAAATCCGTGACGATCCATAACCTTCCCTTAAGGGACAGTCGGATGTCATTGCGGTGCCACAGCTATCTAAGGTTTTCAAAAACTCTAGCTTCAGCCTTCGTTGCTCTTGTTGTAATGTCTTCCCCAACACAACCAGCTTCGATCAAGCTTCCGAGGTACTCAAATCTTTTAACTATCTATATAGGGGTGCAGGTACAGGCTCTGTGCACACAATTTCCATTTGGATAGTGCAATGCATATACCTTATCTGAATACATCTATTGCAGAGGGTTTTCAAGTATGTTGAACTGCCTTTGTATTGTCATGCAGCAAGGCGATGTCATCAGCAAATCCACGTCAATAACTATGTTCCCTTAAAAGAGTTCAACTCCACCGTTGATTAGTCTGGACAAAGCATTCTGCAGAACATCCTCTGTGGCAAAGCTGTAAGGGAATAGGCATATGGGGCAACTCCGTTGCACTGCGCTGGAGACAGCAAAAGTGTGACTAGAGCTGGCCAATGACCTTAAACCGACCTGAGGCGTGAAGGCACAACTCCTTTAGAATCAACACATACTTTTCAAGTCCTCCGTCTCTCAATAAACAGTTACATAGTGCAGTTCGACCCCAACCAAAGGCAGCGCGAATGTTGAAGAACACAATAGCCATGGGTCTCGGGTAAGCATGACAATGCAGTAGCAATTGTCAGAGGGTGAAGATTCGGTCGATCCATTCAGGACGAACGTGAAGCTCAGTATTCTTTTCGCGGTTTTGCTCATATTGTACGATCTGCGAAGTATAACGGGTTCCAACAGCCTTACCGCTATTAGGATCAGGCTTTTGCTCCTATGATTGGCACAGTCACTGTGTGGGCCCTCTATAAGCATAAGAGACAATCGATTCCTCTGACTAAGAGGGGACCTGTCCAATGTATAGTTCTGTGTCACCTGGTCTGCCTTCGTATTCTTGGGTCATGAAGGAGGATTTTTCTTTTATTCTCAACCTGGAGTAACCTTTTGTTTTCCCGAATTTTAGGGTAACACAAAGAGGTAGAATTTCCGCTCAGAACGTAGAAAGTGAATAGAGTGTTAAGTTTTAATAGTGCTTGACTGCCATTTTGCTCCCAGCAGTTAGGCTGATAGCGCACAAAGACGGTTCCACGGAACCTGATCATCGACTAGCAAACGTTTCATTGCCAGCCGAGTTGACATCCTCAGTGGTTGCGATATTTCTCAACTTGTCGAAGAATGCTCAGTATCGTTGGGATATTAGGTGATGAACTCCTGAACTGGTATGTTTTCGTTTGGAACATTGCGTTCGTATCCGATGGATCGCGCGACTCGATCGAATCTATGTTTAAGCGATAAAACCCAGCCATCGAACAGCTTGAACTATGAATTCTAGGTTAAACATTCTTCGCGGATGGGTCTTAAGGAAAGTGTTAGGTGTACATATCTCTCGCTCGCAGATCGAATAGCAAACGCACTTCGAACTGATTTTTTCGCGTTCAGCCTTATGTTTCTGTTCCGCGCATTCCAATCAACGTACTGTGCCCCCTCGTACTCTGTATCATAGGTAAGTCGTGAAGAGCTGACGCTACCACAACCTAGGACCTTCACACTGCAGAAGGTTGTGGAAATCTCCTATTACAACATGGGTCGTATCCGGTTACAATGGTCTCGTGTGTGGGAACATATCGGTGGTCATTTCACCGCAGCCGGTCAGTCCTCCAATGAAGATGTGGCCGAATTCGTGGTCGATTCGTTGCGTCAGTTGTCTGTCAAGTTAATTGAGAAAGGCGAGCTGCCGAATTTCCACTTCCAAAAAGAGTTTCTACGGTAAGTGTCGTCTCAGCGAGTAATGCATTTTTGTGACAATAACTAATTGTCTGTTGGATTTCTGTGTCTCCCTGATCACACAAAGAGGTACTTGTCGCACTCATTGAGGGAAAAGTTTGGTCATCACTGCACCTATTCCGCTGATTTAGTACATAAGATTGATTTTATCCAACCCATAAGGTTACATCATTGTAAGAAAATAGTATTCACTTGACGATACAGCCACGTATTTGTACAACCAGGAACTGTGCGATTTTTTTCCAAACACTTAATGAGCAGCAGTCCGTTTCCGAAATAGTTTTATGTGAACATTTTTAGTGATTGACGATTCCCTGCGTGCTTCCGATAAATCGTTCTGAGTGAGCACTGGATAAGAACACTTACTTCCAGTTCCCGGAGAGTTCTTCTCCTACGAGAACCAGGGGGACAGACTTGATTTGGTTTCCCTGACAGTTCCACAAAGCTGTGAATATACTGCAACGCGACAACGCTCATTGCACTGCGTAGGGTTTACTAGGAAATAAATTGCACTTACTCATACTACCTCTTATGCAAATTCAGAGACAATGTGATCTCGATTGGGCTTTCGCATCATGGTGTCCGGTGTAGTTTTCTCATGTATCAAGATAAAGATGTCTGACAATTCAGTTTAGTTGTTAAAACCATTAACCATGCGCAAACTACTCATTATCATTAAATTAACTCGTCGCTAGCAGTCACAGCATCCCCAAAGCTCACTTTCTTAAATACTTCGGCGTCGTTCTATCCCACAAAGTCTCCTGGACTAGCCGCGTAGAGAATGTTTACAACAGGGTTCGTAAACTGTCCAGGAAGGCCTAGGAAGCTTGTTGTTTCCCCAAATTTGATTTTCAAATTCGCGATCACATGCATCCTCCGTCATTGTTCTCCGGGACCTGAAAGAAAAGGTTTAATATCGATTTCCAGATCCATAAAACTCCTTTCCGATGTAGTGGCACAGCCAGAAATGTACTGGCTGGTTTTATTATGTGCAAGCATATCGATGTATGTGAACCAATAGCTGGTCGAATATTAAATCATGAGGATCACTGCTTGCACGCATCATCGCATACAGAAACAGACTCCCCTTTATCTTGCTCGTTTTCAGTGAACCGGTTACCATTTATTACAGGTCCGATGAAATAACTCATGATCTAGTTGATTTATTTATTTGGTGAACTACTATTGTCGTCTTCTGGCTCGCAGTGTGCTGTCGTTTTGTTTACGCCCTCACATTTCTTTGCGTTTTCCCCTTCGACTTCCACTGTATTTTCTTGAAAATTCACCATTCGGGGCACAAAGCTTATTTTGACTTGACTTGGCACTGTCGGCGGTTTTGGTCGTTGTCTTCAGACTACCCATTTGGATAGAGCAGAAGGAATTGGATTGGATTGGATGACCAGTATATTATGCATCTGTACAGAATACTGATCGTGGTGGTAAATGCTCACATCATAAAAAAATCAAACTCGGAATAGCATAAATATTTAAGTGTACAAGACCAGGTCACATATCGATCGTGCATGGGTATGATGTATATTATTTCTAAGAATATCAACAATTCTCACACTCATCACAGCTCAAATGATGTTGCGATCGTCTCTAGTATCTAGACTTCCGGAACCAGGTTCATTCGAAGTAAGTGAATCAGTATGTGAATCATTGGATTCGGATAGATTCTCATTGAACGCGGTGTCAGGAATTGGATTGCAAATCTGACCCACGTGTCTACGGCGCACAGTTTTATCATGCGTACCGTCTGGTAGCTAAGTTTACTCAGCATAATAGCATTGACAGGTGGTAAATCATTTCCACGTTGAAAGGATAGTCAAGCGGGAGAAAGATATTTCAAATTCGTTCTAAGCACACTAAACTTCAACAGTTTTTCAGGACTGTAATGCGTAGTACCATGAAAAGCAGTCTGCTGTTCGTTGTAACACAACAGTGATATCAGTCAATGAAGCATCAGTAATGGGAGCGGAATGCTATTTTAGAGAAAAGAGTTCTAGGAATTCACATATTTTACACAGTACGTGATGTTCCGAATGCCAAACCGATTTTATGATTGTTAATGCTAAAATTAGGGTCAAACTTTAGACAAAAACGAGATTTGTATTGCAGAAAGCCAACTGAATAACAAATATCAGTAATGTTCTTGAACTTGTACTGTCCAGTACCGGAGCTGCATGGCTAGAATTAGGCTTACAACCTTGATCAACGCGTAATATCATCTTTATCAAAACAGTAATAAATTACAGTGTATTTGTTGTCCTGAAGTGCTCATGATTCTGTCACTTGTCAGAGGTGAGTGGAGGGCCGAAGTTGACTACTGGTTTTACATTTTATGAGGACTTTGGTTACTAACAGTCATCATCCTTACCCCCACGGAACCGGGTTTTTAAATTTCCCAAATGGCCCTGTTGCACTTGATACCATTATACTCTCCACCTATTCGTCCTGTTCTGTTAACCTCAATGACACTTTTTCAGACCATTCGTGAGCATCCTGGACAATGGGACAGTACTTACCCGAAAGATCCAGGATATGGTGATTCGATGTGTGTGCCAACTGGTGCACTCGCAGTACGCAAATATTCGATCTGGTTGGACGAATATCTTCGCTGCTTTTCATCGCGTAGCCGGTTCAGCTGATGAGGCTGTGGTGGATCTGGCTTTCGAGACGTGTGGATTCACGGTGAACGAAGTGTTGAAAAATCACGTACACGTGTTGCTAGATGCGTTCCAGGTGGGTGTGTTTGTGTGCACCTAAAATGTGAGAGAATACTGTGAATTTACCATAGCAACAGTGTTTATTCGATCCGTGTGAAATCAAAAATTTCAAATAAAACCAATCATAGCCTGAGTTTAATACCTCGAGACCCCAAACCGTATGATACAATCATCTTAGGCTTCTCTTCACGCAATCTAGGCTGTTCTTTGGGGGTAGCAAGTCGTAAATTGTGCTATCTATCGTAAGAGGTCAGGAGTCAACTTTCTTATCTCGATCGCCCCGGCTATTCGCAGTTCAACACGCTTGCATTTTTTATGACGCTCACTATACAGACCGCATCAATAGATAACGCAATCCTAACACACTTTTCAAGTTGTCTGTCATGTCTCCCACAACAGGTGCAAGCGTGTTCAATATCAATAGCCGGAATTCAGTTAATCGGTAATGCCTCCTACGAAGCCGGTTGTTCGCTTGGAGTATATGGAATGGAGACTTTGCATCTCTAAATTGTAGGACACTAATGTCCGTTCACAGCATCCCTACAGTCTTTCGTCTTGACCTGACGCCCAGCTTTTCCGCAAAGCCACTCTTCTGTAAAGGACGAAAATAGGTAGGTCATCCTGACAGTATGCGAACGTTGAATGCGACTAAGTGAAAATGGGATTTGCTCTCGTCAATTCTATGGCATCGGATTGGATGGCTTTACTGGTTACACGCCTATGAGTGGCGCAAACAAGAGACATCTGGAAGAATTCTAAACTGAGAGGAAGAACTAGACAGATGCAAAAGGTTTTTCCAACTGGGTACCTGAGACTTTGGGGTACGGTATACTTCGCGTTAGCCCACATCGACAAAAGGGTTTTTCTCTGGGAACCCTGACCTGGCCTGCCATGGGATAATTTCTTGTCTTTCTGCTCCCTGTTCATGTTTTGAGTATCTTATAATTGTCCTCCGTTCGTTCACCTCGCCTAACCAGTTCTTGCACAAAAGCGTACTTATCATCCATTTGATAACCTGTCGAATCGAATCGTTCAGGTTACTTTTGAGACGAATACTTGTCTACTCTTTGTTTCTAAATATCTTTCATCCAAATTTGATATTTCCATTCATTCACTTTGCAGTGGTCTTTGTGACCGAGAAGCTTACTCACGTACGGTGTGTGAAATGCTGTCGATCGAACCAAATCACCTCAGTCGCTCAAATTTGGTAATAATGATAATTCAACTTAGTACCCCGCATAGGAAAAACAAACATTTCTATTGACCAAGACATTTCTAAGTTGAGGTATCCTAAAAGATGTAAGAGTTTGTTATAGTCAGCTGACATTTGTCATTTGATTGGTTTACCTGGTTTACGGCCCCAGGGTGACTGGACAGCGGACATACTCGGGCCTGATCGATCATCGGCCATGGAAATTGGAGTGACTGAACCAAACGCTTCTGAGGACATATGTCAGGGGTCAACTTTTTTTATCCCGATCGCTTCGGCTATTGCTAGAGTGCGCAGTTGGACACCTTTGCACTTGGTGTGGGGGACATGATATAAAACGTTGAAGGCGACTCTACGGATTTGATGTCCGATGCCGACTAGGGCTAAAGTAGAGCTGTTTATTGATCCTGTCTGTCCTAGTCTTAACCAGCATGAGTGATGCTCCTTGATCCGGGTAGATAGCTGTCGTGCCGTTCGACCAACATAAGATGCGCCACACGCATCTGAAAGAGTATACAACCATTGATGGGGTCAACATTGACAGTTTATCCTTATTTTGAACGTGGATCATAGGAGTACCTCGAAACACCGTAACTTGGCAGTGTTAAAGGCGTTGTCGATTGCTCTGTTCAGACGTCGAAGAAGGATCTCATTCACGGCATCGCCTTTGAATGGCAAAGTGATGAACAAATCTTTCTCACAGTTAACATGGGAGTTTTCGGTATTTGTTCAATCAGATTCTCACGTATGATGTTTCATTGAGCGTCAGCTCATCATGCAACACTCCCTCACAGAAGATTACCCTCGTTCTAGTCGCCAGGCATTACGATCCGACCATCTTCCATTCTGCTGAGAGACATCCAAAAACGATAATTGATTGTTCGTTTCGCGTTCGATTGTGAAACGTACTGCTTTGTGCACCTTATTAAATTCCAATAACGCAGATGTTAGGTTGCAGCTAGTATCAGTCACGTAGAATATATCTTCCACATATATGTAGTAATGTTCAAAACTACCGATTGCCGACTTTAGCTTAGTTCTATCCAGTTTTACGAGGAAGGCATCAGCGAGTAGTTGTGGACAGTTTGAAGTACCCTTTGATATGCCATTGGACCCCAGATATGTTCATGCTGATACAAATCCGGAATGTAGGCTGGTTAGTTCTTTATTCTGAATTTCCGGTACAGTAGCCACATTCTAGTGAGTTGGGTTTTTAGGCACTGACGTGTTAGAAAATATCAGCTCCAAGTCTTTTTTATGGAATTACACTAGGAAAATGAACTCGTCCAAGGTTTTGACGTAATAGTAAGCTGTCTGATTGTTTTCCGGAACTACCCGCTGACAGTTCGTATTCACATAAATGACATCTCAGTTTATAACAGGGTACCCGCAGCAGAATCCACAACTTAGGGCTAGATTATACTCTCCCAGGTCGTTCCAGTAGTTCATGAGTCCATCATGTTTGTCGAGATTGAACTTTCGCTCCTCGCTGCACATCAGTCAGATTGTTCCATTTATAAGTCCAGTTGATATGATATCTAAAACAGGCAACCCGTTTACCAATATCACTAATTGTTATTCATATTACGGATTTCATCCTTCTGAATTGTAAGTGTGAAGTAGATCGTATCAGTTGCTGCTGGCGCATTACATTCAACTCAATGTGTCGATCACTTTACCTTCGACTCGTTCTTTACCTGATTTGAAGCAGAATGTAAGAAGTTTTTGGTGCCATGATCAGGGACCTTTGATCAAATTATCAGTTTATTGCCACTGATTTATCAAGATGGCTCACCCAAAATTCACGAACAATCCTCGTTGATCAATAATTTCTTCCAATAATCCTGCGAGTAAGAGTAAGCAGATCATTGGTCTATTCCGACAAATGGCAATTCCATGAAAACAACAAAAGCACGTGACCCTGGGGATGGTTGCTCACTTACCATGCGCAACGTGAATATTCATTATTTGTATAACGTAACATCGCGTAACTCATCGTGCGCATGACTAACTCACATAATTATTGTTATGATCTACGCTCAAAGTGGATTTGATGTCGCTTGGGTAGTGCAGTGGTGTAGTCACTGTCACCGTCGTGCTTTGGACCCTATGTTCCGAGGTTCGCTCCTCGCCACCGTCACCCAACTTTGGTGGTGGATAGCTTTGCTGTCGTCCGGTTCAATACCATGCTTAACCTATCGGGGTCTTATGTGGTTCACCACTCCAAGTCCCGGGACTTAGGTTACCGGTTTCCATCATAGAACGGCAGATCCTTGTGACTATGGGGTTTACCCCATGTGCTGTTCATCACACGAAAAGTGTGTAATAAAAAAAGATAAAGTAATATCTAAACAATATAATTTAGGGTTTTCTATACGGCAATGTTTGCTCCGTCATCATACGAAAGTTGACCCATCCGGGTGGGCCTTGCTAAGTAGCTTTTCTCGTACTATTGACTAGTCTCGTTCATTCGTGTCCGATCATCCGAATCTATTGCAATGCAAATCGGTCTTTTTTGCACAGAATGAAGGAAACTGTTTAGAGCCAGGCGATCAATGGCCTCGAGGGACCAGAAATATCACGGTGAGCTGACTGACTTCTCGCATGTACTAGGCTCATGTTTGTTCTCAAGAATGCAATGCATAGTGGTCTGTCGAACTAGTCGGATTTGCATGTACTCGCTCTCACCCACACATTGCATCCCTATGGCCATCCGTCCACCTAACTGGTGCATATTTTTCATCCCATATGGAATGCCGTTCGCGAGGAAAGCAGGTCGGCACTACATCCCAACCGTTTTGAAGTTGTACTGACCTCGTGGTGCATGTGCGGGCGATAGTATTGGTGGTTTCGTGCCGCATACAACTAGGTTTTCCAAGCACCTTTTATTCCACCTTGGTGTTTGGTGGACAAAGAAGAACACGCAAAAAAGATTGCTAATAAAGCTGTAGGAACTCTCCTCTTACCGCATGCGTTCCTCTTGCCTGCTCTTGTGTACTGGGTTTTTATGCGCTCACACCTCATCGCAGAAATTTACTTTTCTTTCAAGGCATTTGCAATTGATTGACGTTTCGTTTCTAGCTGAAGAAAAATTCTCTTCTCCGTTAAATCGTTGCATGAGGTATATCATTATAATTAGTGAATTAAAGTGCTCATTTTGTTAGATTAAAGATGCTCAGTAACCCAAGTTGGTATTTGTCACTTAAAAGCGGCATTGGTAATTTGATGCATATACTGAACCAAACAAGCCTATTTTTTGGATTGTGCAATCCGAAAACCCCATGAGAATTGTTCACATCCTCCGGTTTTCTGTTTGTTTTTGTGCATCTAATCATCATTGCACGTTATTACTCGCTTTATCTGCCAAACTGCATGTCAACATATGCATGGTAACAATAATACATAAAGTCGATCGAAAGCAGTCGTGAACAGTTTTTGATTTAGATTGTGGACGTGACCTCTAACCAGCCGTCGATATTGATTTGCACACAACTCTCATCCATTGTCGGATCAATAAAACCCGATATTAAACGTGCCAGTAGTAGAAGATAGAGAATACGGCACTATGCATTAGGTGCTCTCGAATTCGACTCTTAGTTGACCAGAGTAATACTTTATCTTGTCAGGCACACGTACTTTCATCAAACTCTGGCAGTGACAATTTCAGCACATCACTGCCAACGTGACTTTTGTCCGTAAACGAACATTCATGTGCTACAGTTTTATTGGTCCAATGTGATGAGTAATGCCCTGGATAATGAGCGGCGGTGATCGAAGACAGACAGATCGTTAGATAGACAGGTCGTTAGTAGCATGCATTTCACACGTGGCTGGTGAAGCATACAAAATCTGTCCCCCATTTGTTATGTGGCAAAAGCTACGAGGGTGGGAATTGTTCAACTGCGGTTGAGCAAAATTGTCTCTTCACTCCAGGGTGGAGCTGTTTTCTTTTTTTCTTTTCACGTACACCTGGATCCAGACTGTGCTTAACAACTCACAATACACTAATCTTTACGCCAACAAATATTTCGGGGACAGTTATTTTCCTGTCCCGATTTCAACAGTACTTCTTGCAGAGACCTCACACTTTCTAATCGTTCCTTTGTTTTGTTTTCCATGGTGTTTCTCATTAGTAGGCCAGCCCTTATTCGGAAGTTCTTTCTTCGTGTTTTGCGAACACGGTGTTACCCATCACATTGAGTTCTCAACAATTTGCGGTTCCGGAAAGGATTGATGCATTACTTGTTTTGACTCATGTGGTCCAGTGTTGTGTATGGTGGCTTTCTTGCCTTTGGCCTGACTGCATTTCTTTCCTATCAGCAGTCGTCTCTTGTTTTTGGTCGCCTTTACTGTATTTGCAGTTTGAAATGTTAATACCAAGTCCATTTTGTTATACTTTACTATATATATATATATATATATA